TTCCCATCACCCTGTTCTGGCTATGTGGCCTTTGGCACTTGGCACCCAAGCTTGCTTTTGGAAAAAGTGATGGCATTCTTGGCGGGGGGACCAACTTCCATCTGTCCTCACATTGGGCACAGGCTGCAGTTCATCCAGTTACCGCCTCACTCACTTGACTCTTACCGTAGCTTATCTGCTTCATTCTGGATACATGCCAGGAGCATATGCAAAGTCCACTGCATATTCACAGCATGAGGCCATATTCCATATGCACACATTGATTTGTGGAAAACAGAAAGCAAGGAAACATGTCTCAGTCTTTGCACTGCGAGTCTCACATGACAGTGGCTCCCTGGCTCATTTAATGCCATGCCTTCTATGTAGCAGATGTGAATTTCCCACCCACCAATGATGCTGGATAGGTCCAATGTGAGCACACAAGGTGGGAAGTACACATTTGAAATATGAAAGCCTTTGCCAAAATGTCCTGAATTTGAACACACACACACACACTCACACTCAGAATTCCACCTGCTCTTAAGTTGCCTTAGTTGGAGTCATCTTCATTTTCATTGTATACTTCTTTAATCTGCCTTGATCCTCTTCATTACACCTTTGCCATACCAAGAAGTGAAACCAACACAAAAGCAGCTTAATGTAACTTTGGAGGAGGCAAAGGCAGGGAAGGAGAAAAGACTTGCTTATTCAAATCAAGTCAATGTCTTGCAGCATGTGATACACTAACAACCAATCACAAAGTTGCATGCATAAATTATGGAACACCAAATAAGTGCACTAGACATTTCTGTTTCATTGTTTTATCTAACATTTGGTGACGTCTTGAATAGTTAAAAAAAAAAAACCCTAAGTCAACATCACCATGAATAGAGGACTTTATATCTGAATCCTCACCAACTGGTTACATCCCATCTATCTATCAACACAATATTCCCTTCCTGCTCTTCTGTAAGGGTTTCCTTGAAGAACATCTCTAGCAGTGCCAGTTGTGCACCTTCCCCACAGGAGAACACAGCAATGTTTGAAAAATTGAAGAGGGTGGAAACAAAGACCTGCAGTTTATCTGATATGACTGGATGATAGGACAATTGGAATACAAAACCAGGAACGATACGTACATACGTACATACATACATACATATATATATTATATACATACACATTTATACCTGTGTAAAGATTAAATTAAAAATTAAGATGATTTCTTTTTAAAACATTTTCCAGAAAATTATAGCACACCTCCCAGTATGTCATTTTTTCATCTTTTCTATTACTGCTTACAGTACACTGTGCACCTTTTACACCAGCTGTTTGGGTACAACTTTGTTTCAACCATAGTAACATGGGGTATTTGTTGGGATGGGAAATCTTGCTGCCTTTACAGCTTTTCTGTGTGGCACTTAAAGAGGATTGCCAAGAAGGTGCTGACAGCGGCCACTGTTTTTCTTGTTTCTAGCCATTGCTTATGGCTCGGAAACTCTGCATTTGGCAGATAGGATAATAATAAGGACTAAGCTTTTTGCTAACTTGGCCAATGATGCAAAACAATAACCATTTACATTCCGTAATTTGGGGTCCTGATCTTCAGAAGCACAGGCTTCAAGGCATCTGACAACATATACCCCATTTCACCATTGCAATGTTGGGGAAAGATGGGAAAGCAGTCCTTCCTCCTACCTTCAACAAAATTATCCTCTCTGGTACAAAAAGTAGTCTTGACACATCTCATCTTTTAGTTTTGGATGACTGAATCCAGAATATTTGCCACACCCAGGTTTCCTACTCAAAAATCATGATTGCTGGGTTAGAATCCTCACTGCACTCATCAACACACCCTGAGAAATAATCCATTTTATCATTGTCAGACTACTGCGGCATTGTTGACACATTGTCAGGGTATCTAAAGGCCAAGCAGCTCACTTTAAGTGGGTTCTCTGTACACAATTTTCATTAACAAAAAACGATTAACACTGTTCACCCCATTAGAAGCAGCCAAACCTGATAAACGGAATACTGTATTTCCCATTACAAAGGAAACATGGAATATTTCTGTCTTGAAGTTTTGTTACTTCATTATGGAAATGAAATATTTCTAGGACAAGACTGGAAAAATGAGGTAAAGGGGTGGTCCACTTTTCAAAATAACCTATTCCACTCCACCAACATCCATTACTCTTGTGCAAGCCCTGAAATTCACATTTCATATTCAGTTACTGTTTGAATTACAGCAGTAGACACTGACTATTGAGGAGTGTCTTTTTTCCACAGCAGCCAATATTAATGTGTACTTCACAAAAAGTAAACAGTAAAAGGAGTGAGTACATCTCAGATTAGTGAGGGAAACACCCATGCTTTTGTTCAAGTAGAAAGCAGGTGCGTGTGTGTTGGGGGTGTTTGGCAATTAGACTTTTCCTTCATCAGAAATTTCTTTTTACAGGTAAAACCCAAAGGGATATTGTTTTCTGACAAAATACTGCTTTAAAATAATAATAATAATAATAATAATAATAATAATAATAATAATTAGTACATGCTTCTGAAACAGCATCATTTTGACTCTTTTTCAGAGAAAAGAGTGTCTTTTCCAGCAATCAATTTACAAAACACACTTTTGATTCCACTTCCCTTGGGACATGCTCAACAACAGCTCTGAGTATGCAGCTAACAGCCATGCCTGAAAAAAATATTGTCGAAAGGCTTGTCAATGATACAGTATGTATCTCCATAGATGGGAGGGAGCAATTTACACCCATTTTTATAGAATCTAGTTTAAAAAAATAATTCTGGAACAGCAGCTGAAAGAGGGTCAGTGAATGCTTATGCGTCGCGTTTCCCGCCACCTCAGTTTATATTGGTTTCATTGTGGCTGTGTGTGTTAAGTGAGGGAGCACTTTTCTACACTCCAGGCCCATAAACGGCCAAAAGGGGAGAAAATGTGTCAAAGAAGGCAATGACAATAGAGAAAAGACAAAGGCCAAATGAAGAGATAGACTCTATTTGTTGCTGCTGAAAGCTTCATCTTGCCATTTTTAACAGATAGGATGTGTTTTACTTTTCTATACCAACATTATTCCCTGCACATAAATGTTGTGTTCAGTCACAAAGTCTCCATACTTGTGCAGTACAACCCCTGTACTGTCACAGAAACTCCCCATGACATGCAGAGAGCAGATTTCAGATGTTGTGCCCTTTTGATAAGTATCATCTCAGGGTAATGGTATTTGCATGGTCACTTTCTCTGTCAAGGAGCAGCAGTCATGGCATTCTGCTATCATTTGTTTAAATGAGGTGAGGGAGGAGGCTGGCAAGAAAGACAACTTGGTCATCTAGCACCTTCGTGACCAAGCACTTTTGCAACCCATGGCCAGGACTGGAAGGTGCTTAAACTGCTGGCCACCAAGAAGAATGCCAGACCCCCACCCCAGCTAGCTGCTAAGGTGCCATCACATTTTGGCCTGCTACGGAGTCTTTCAACTGTTATTCTGGAAAGAAAGAGGAGGAAGTCAAGGCATTGACTGTGTGGACACTTGAAGGACCAGGCTTGGTCTCATTGTGTTGCTTCACAGAGGAACTGCATGCCAACTAGAGATGCCAAGTCAAAATTCTTAAACCAAACGGACCTTTGCCATTTACTCCCTGGAATTGTGGGTTGATGAGAAGAGAAATCCACTATGGTCTGATATTTCGTTCTGGAATGAAGGACAGCCCCCTAAAATAAGGAACACCAGGCAATAACCCTTACAATCAAAGAACCCAAGAGACTGATTCATTATGAACATTGCTTCCAAGGAACAACCCTGCTTTTATCTTTTGCTGTCCCCCTGGCTGTGACCCACCCCGCTTCACCTCAGCACATCTTGGTGCTGATAGCAGCAAAAGTAGACCCACGGCAAGGCCTTTGGAAAAGGTGCTTCCCTTCACGAGTTTTCTTCTGTCAAATACAGAATGGCTGGTACCAAACCATGATACTGACATGCTCAGGTAGGTGGAGAGCCTCTTCCCTGCTCAGCTCCATGGTTTCCCAAAGTCGCTGGCTTCAGTTACCTTGATGTGTTTTCACCCAGCTTTTAGGTTTGAACACTTCACTCCCTTGGGAGGTCCAGTTTGTAAACCTCCTGGCTGTTTATTCCCAGAAATCTTCCAAGATGATGTGAATAAAAATGCAATGAGGAGGGGAAAAAGGCAGATGTTCTTTTCCCAGTGTAAAAGTAAACTGTAGTGTCTTTTCAGATGCTAGAAGGGGTTTTGGAGGCCAGAGGTTCTCCTCAGTCCCCAAAATGGGGGCCAGTAAAATCCCTTACTGACTCCCTCCTTAGAAAACACAGACATATTTCCTACCATTGCACAAAACATAGAGAATAATGGATTCCATATTGTCCAAAGGATGGAAGATTAAAGGCAAGATCATCCCACCCATCCCACCCACCCCGACTCCCTTGCCCCAAAGATTAAGATTCAGGAAGCAAAATGAAAACAGCTGGTCTCACTTCTGGCCAGCAGAGTCCTGTTGTGTTCCAGCTTGTCCACCTGCACAGCTGAAGGGCCAAGAAGGCCTGTAGAAGTGAGGGGCATGAGGTCCCAGTCCTGACCCATACTGGTTGGTGCATGGTTGTCATCAGGCAGAAGGTACAGGAGACACCAATGGACACCATGGTCTGTCTAGCCAGTTGACACAAGACGCACACTGGACACAGAAACTGACAATGATTCACCACCCTGGGGAGGTGCCTGGGTTGTGCCTCTGCAGCCCACTTTGAATTTTATCATCCCACCTGATCACTCACGGCCTTTCTTTCTCCCCCACATGCAGCAGAAGGGAAGGTCATTGGCTACCCTTGCTGCAGTAGTTCTGATTCTGTAGGGCTTTACTTCCTCAGTGGGAAATAAAGGGAATCAGGCAGAGGACAGGGGAAGAATCAAGAGTGGGCACCAGTGGGAAACATTCTAAATATGTCCCTTGCAAATAATAGTAGTAGTAGTAGTAGTAGTAATAGTAAGAATTAATTGCTCTGGTTGGTTTATATGTTTTTCTGCTCTCTGTTTCTTTTTTTTTTTTTTTTTTTAAGTCGGGTTGGAATTTTTCAAAGTCTGCAGCTTCGCCTCCAGTTCAGAGATCTGAAAAACACACAACAGAAAGGGGTGAAGAGAATATCTCCAGGCAGAGTAACAGTGGGAAGGGATGGGGAGAATGGAGGACTCAGGATGGAGAATTCAGGGGGTGGCAAAAGAAGCCAGCTGGTTCTTTGCCATGAAAGGCAATGGGGAATGGGCAGAAGAGGAAAGGGTTGTTGTGAGGAAAAAATGGTTGAGAAGAAGGAAATTGAAGGTCATGTCACCTATTTTTGTATACAGCCTTTGCACCACTTCGGAATGATTCCGGCTTGTGATCTGTTTCATGCCACTTTCGTAAGACAGAAGTTTCCAGGAGCCTCTGCCTTACATTCTGCAGAAGGCCACCCATCATCCATGAAACAAATCAAGTTAGAAATTGCAACTATCCGTGTGCTTTGTGTGACCAATGTGACTTTTAAAAGTCAGATTTTTCAAAGGCTACATTACCCTGGGATACTAACACATATTCAAAGGTGGAATCAAAGAGCACAAGAGGCAAAACGCTCACCTTCCACAGAAGTGCTCTTGTAAATAATATTGTGTTGTTAAATGGGGTGGGTTAATATGCCTGAAATTTTCTATAACTGGTCATTGGTACTCCTAGTCCAGAGAATGGTGGGAGAAATAGATGTTCATGAATATACATCATTATACCTAGCATACTTAGTGCACTATCATAGGGCTAACCCATTGTTTTTCATGTGTTGCTGATTCATTGGGTTAATTCTTCCACCTCATCTAACCAGTTTTTGTGTATCCAGCACAGGGATGGACAACTAAAACAGGGTGTATGTGTGTGTCTGTCTTTGTGGGCTGGGTGGGCTTATGGAAGGGAACAGGCATGTCCTGCAGAGGGAGTCCAAGCCTCTACAGGCAATGTCCATGGATCGGAGTTGGCCTGCCCATGACCAAGAACAACAGACTGGCATGCTCAGATTTGTTTCTGTACCCAAATTAAGTTCTGTGGTGAAATCATCATAAAATGAATGCAAATCTAACCATTTAAAAGTTGAGATGGACAAGGATGCAGGCCTGAAGATGCCAGAGTGAAATGATGCTCCTTACCCAACATGGAATAAGGTGCTTCCATCTCTTATAATGAAAGATGGCACATACTTTGCTCTTTGTATGGGCAGGGACCAACAGGGCTCGTTTTCACAATTAAACATATCAGTGGTCATTCCAACTGCCTATTTTCTTGCAAGTATCAGTCAAAGTGTCATTTCTGCTTGGACCCAAACTGTCTGAGGACTGTCCTCTCTTCTCTACCTCCCAACTCAGCCCCTAAGATCAGCCAAGAATGCCATCTTGAAATTGCTAGCCATGTGGTCACATCAAGGGCATGTGGAAACACATTCCTTGGTAGTGGTACTTCAACTTGGTACTTTGGCTCCTCTGTGAGCAATCTTCAGAAACATCTAGCTAGCTGAAAACATTTGCATTTAGAGTTAACTCAGTGGAGAGGTGGGACACTTCCCTATCTGCTTCTGCTCTCATCTGCTTAAACCTTTTGGGCTATACAATATAACTAAGCCAAAAATGAATTAATCAAATTAGAGCAGGGCTGGAGAAGCTGTGGCTCTCCAGATGTTGTTGAACTACAGTTCCCATCATCCCTGTCCACTGGCCATACTGGGAATTATAAGAATTTTTATCCAGCAATGGCTGGAGAGGCACAGCTTTCACAGCCCAGTGTCAGGGCTTGGGCTGTGTGGACATTACAATCACCAAGGTGCTCCCTTGGAAGTAACTTTTTTGCTATGTAAATGTAGGATGCATTTGTGGGAGCTGTGAATTTTGGCCATCCCTCCTTCCTGCTCCTCTCTGAAGAGTCCTACTGTAGTCTTTCTTTCACTACAACCTTTGTAGAAGCCTCACATACAATCAGTTACTGTGCCTGACAAGGCCAAGGTTGCAATGAGAAAGAAAGAAAAGTTGACCAGCCGTCCATATGGGGAAAAGGTCAGAGAGAAATAGCTGGGGTGATGATGATGGAGGAACAGTTGGGAAATGAAGGCAGGTCACAGGGGCAGCCACTTAGAAAGTAATCTTGGCTGAAGCTGTTGGCCTTTTACTTACAAAAAGCTGAAGGTACAGCATTTACAGAAAAGGGAGTCATGATATGTACAGACCCTTGAACTACTCACAGGCTTGGTTTGTAATGCTTGTATAAAATTGGCCTGCATTGATTTCAGCAGCAGCAGTGGAGGTCTGACATGACTGGCCTCCCCAACTGAATAAGGGCAGCAGTTCAGGGTCTGAAGAGCTTTCCTTGCTGTGAGTGGCTCGTGTCTGCCATTTGCCCGTGATAAACACATTTCTGTGATGGTGCTCCCCACCTGTGAGTCTATGGCTGCAGGAGCTGATTTGCCCAGGACTTAGGCCTGGTCCACAGATGCCGAAGAATGAATGAAGTAGGAGAAAGCTGAAATGGTAAAATGAATTGTACCACTCCAGTCAGTGGGGGAAATACATCTTTGGACCACTCCCTGCATTAGAAACTCACAAACAGAAAACCAGTACAGGGAAAATTACTTGGGATAGATTTTTTTCTATTCAGAGGGATTGTATTGTTGTTGCTGAACACAGATGAACATTCAAAGCCAGTTGATTGCCTGCAGTCTGGAATAGTGCAGCCCATTCTACCACCTCAGCAATCTGCTACTTCATTCATCTCCATCTGTAGACCAGACCTTATTCTCCTGCATATGATCAACTAAAGCTGTCCCTGGGGACAGACTTGTCTGGAGTTTGAACTGTCCCACTCCATGATGATGACCGCACATTTTCCAGTCACTGCGGTCATGCCAATCGTTTCTTGTGGGAATTACACGCACTGTTGCCTATATCCATCTACAGCCTGGCTCATGTGCTGCAATTTCTGTTGGTAGGCTGTGCACGTGCAGGAATTAAAAAATCTGGCATGAAGAAGCCTAATGTGGTCCCTGGAAAAACACAGCCGCGTTCTCTGCCTGTGATCCTCACCTTGTCTGTCGGCACCTGGCTCTTTATAAAGACGAAACAGCAGCTGCAATTGCAGTGTGCATGAGATGTAAGAACACTCACATGTGCTTGAGTGGTCAGCCCCCATGAAGATGAATGGTGGTGAACAAAGGAGAGGACACCCTAAAAAGCTGCTACTACAATTAAAGGTTTTGGAAGGGCTTTTATGGGCTTCACCGCCACTGCTTCTCTGCAGGGGGAGCTGGTGAAAAACCAGACAGGATTGTCCTGGATGCTCAAAGAGAGGGATACTCCAGTCTAAACTGCTCTCATCAGATATCTCAGCACGTTTACTTAGTTTTTCTTGCACACACATACACACACACAAACACACACACACACACACACACACACACTTAACACACAGAGGCATAGGAACGACCTGACAAATCTGACATGATCCACTGCCTGATGTAGGATCCAGGATGTAACAAGGATCCACCATGGCCCAGGAAGGAAATATATACATGTTACTATGAGGTCAGTTGTATGATCAAATGAGAGCCAGTGATTAATATGTGAGATGGGTGAGAGAATCCAATCTATGTCCATAAACTTAAGAAACTACTACAGAAGCTAGAGGTTACTAGAAAATCTGGAATGTGCATATGTGGAATCCAGTATGTGTCTCACATTATCACAGTATCTGGGAAGGATACTGTGGACATAGCATGTATTGTAAAGATCCACTTTGCCCTGAAGAATTCAGCAAGCCTCAGCCAAAGGATCTTTGCCATCTACTCATAGGATCCAATGTAATACAGGCATGGGATGCAGTTCTCAGTATGGGAATCAGACGGATCCAAGTCTTTCTCCCCAGTGCCCTTCAACTGAAGGATCAAATGCTTAACTTGTGAACCATCGCTGGAAACAATACAAGACTCAAACATTAATGCCCAATTCTAAAGAAATTCAGAGAGGCGGCCATGCCTCCCACCTGACAAGCGCTCATGTTAACAACCAGGTCCTTCCAAAAGCATGTCTCACATATGACCCTGAGCTGAATCAAGGCATCTCCAGTCACAGAAAACCCCCCTCTCTCTCTTCCTTCCTCCTTCCTTCCTTCCTTCTTTGGAGCTCAAGGCAAGCCCCCAGTGCTGTCCTTGATGCCCACCTTCTCTTGCAACTTGTCAACTTCCTCCTTGTGGGCCAGTTCGGACTCCTCCTGGATGCGACGTTGAGCTGTCTCTTTCTTGAGGAATTCAATTTCTCTGTAAAAGGAATGGAAGAGTTGGGAAGAGGCAGAAGTGCAGAAACCAGTTAATGGATCCTAAAGGGGTGGGGTTGGGATGGTCCAACTTTAGAAGCATCAGGAAAACTTCAATGGGCCTGTTTTATGTGAGCAGTAGAACATGGTAGAATTCTGAGATAGTGCACTGAATTGGTCTGCTTTAGGCTAAAGACAGCAGATTTTCAAATGCCACTCCATAGAAACAAAAATTCTGTCTACAGGTAAAACAAACACCACTGCTAGCACTGAGGAAAAATTTCTAACACTAGCTTTCCCTTCCTGTACTAATTTTATCTGCAAGTAACTTTTCTGATAGGGAATTTAAAAAATGTGGTGCCCATCTACAGCATGAAATGGCACAGTCTGTTCTAGCACATCAGGATTCTATCTCCTCATTCTGTTGCCTTTGCAGACCAGGCCATGGACTCAGCCTTGAATGTCAGAATTCCATGAACGCAGTCTACCAATCTGCAACCTCAAAAGATCTGCAACAAGACAGTTTAAATATTGCCACTGTCAAGCATTTATAGCCCTGGTGTGGATTAGAGAATAGAATGTAACAGACTAAATAGGAATGAAAATGAAATAAAAAAGTCATTTATAATGTTAAATAGGTAAGTTTTGCTCAGTCACGATCCACATTCACTTTCTTTCTGTGTTTCATGAGCTTTCAGACCTGCAGGTTGGGTCCATTTCAGTGTTATAATGCAACTAGAACACTTCATGTACTCTAGGAAATACGGAACAATGATGATGGTGATAGATGGATGGGGAGATAAGACACCCTCTCCATTTGTTTTAACTTGCTGACCAGTTCCAGATACCCACTGAACCCACTAAGTAGAAAGGCCAGTATGCTAATCCTGGCTGCCCGCCATATAGGAGTGGCTTTATAGACTTGCTCATGGAAGAATGAGACCTTAGGGGAGATTGAAACATGAAGTTTATCTGAAGAATGAATTCCTACTTCTGTTGATACTCCTTGATGAGTCGCTTTGCTTTGCTATACTTCCTCTCCAAAGTCTGATATTGGGCCTGGGTCTCTTTCAAGTGCTCATCAACAGCTTGGCACAGGTTCTGGGCCTCCATCCAGTAGCCCTCCAGCTTCTCCATACGCTCCTTGTTCTCTTCCACACTCTGCTCTAGCTGGGCTTTCTCAAGGCGCCAACGGGCTTTCTCTTGTTCAATAGATTGCAGCTGAAGGCAAAGGATACAAGGAAGAAGGGCTATTTATGTAATTATTTACCACTTAACTAGATCGCTTCTTGTCCCCAAGAGATCCCATACTGCTTTACACTAAAATAAAATGAAAAATAAACAACAGAAACTAACTAAAACAATCCCAGTGAAAGACCAAATCATCATTTTAAAAAAGCAATGGAAAGCAATACACAAATAGTAATCACAGAAGCATGTTTCATAGCTCTGGAGTGGCAATTAAAATGCCCCACCCTGACTGCTGGCACGTGGCATCTAAGTATGACTGACCAGACCCTGCTCGCTCGCTCTCTCTCTCTCTCTCTCTCTCTCTCTCTCTCTCTCTCTCTCTCTCTCTCTCTCACACACACACACACACACACACACACAGAGAGAGAGAGAGAGAGAGAGAGAGAGAGAATGAGACATACATTCTTCAGCAACTATACTTGTCAAACTATTTCCATGGACTGCATCATCTAGTGTACACTGCAATAATTAGCCTAGAGGTCACTGGATTAGGGCAAAAGAGCCATACTGGGTTAGACCAAGGGCCTACTTAGTCCAGCATGCTGTACCCACAGTGGCCAACCAGATTCCACCTGAAAGCCTACAAACAGGACATGCACACAAGATCGTCCTCCAACACCCATTACTGAGAGATATGCTGCCTCTGGACATAATATGCAGCCATTGTGACTAGCAGCCAATGTCAGCCTCACTCTCCATTCATCCTCCACTGAGGCTTGGATGACAGTAGTCAAGCTTCTGTTGCTTGACAGTGGGCACAGTTGGTGCACCAGCGGAAAGTATCAGTGACTGAATTCTAAAGAAGTCTAAGGAAGCTTAACCACTTCCTCTTAATAGGTCCTCTAGTCCAGCATTCTGCTTGCACAGTGGTAAGCAAAAGCAGCAAGCAAGCAAACAAACTAGGCTGTTACCCAATCCTGGGTCCCTGGACCACCTTTTCCTGGCAGAAAACAGGCATTTCTGGTAGCGGCTGTACAAATGGCAAGCAGCAGAGAGAGGCAAGATGAGATCATGCTGGCAACTGTGCTGGTTCAGGTGGCATGTCTCAGAAAGTTATGTGCCAGGAAGCCATGGGGTGGGTGACCCAAGGCATGTGTCTTCATCTACAACTCAGGAGAGGTAACAACATACAGAAGAACTGACATCCACATTCCAGGTGTATGACGAATGGATCCATTGAATTCTTCATGGCTGGCAATGATCTTTTCCTTATTTTATGAAGTTGTGCTATTTTAATGGATAACTGTGTTCAGCTGGTTTAAATTTTGCATATTTCAATTTCATTGTAAGTTGCCTTGAATCTTTTTAAAGAAAGGTGTCTGTGAAACCAAGTACTGTAACAATAATAAAAACTAGTGGCAGAATATCCATAAAATAATGTTATTAATAACTATAATTATCACATTGGTATCTCACCTTCTTCCATGGAGCTCAGTGTGGCTTCTATGTATTTTCTCTCTTACATTTTATCTTTACAAAAAGAAGCAGGGGATAGTGACAAACCCTAAGATCATCCACTGGTCATTTGGCTGAGCAGGTATTGGGACCCAGCTTATCCCAGTCCAAATCTCTATTTTGCACAGCCATCCCCAGCCTGCTGTCCTCCAGAAGTTTCGGCCTATAACTCCCATCTCTTTGACCATGTTGATGAGAGTTATAGCCCCAAACATAAGAAGCGCACCAGGTTCTGAAGACTGATCTAGCACACATCAGATTGAATTAAAAATAGCTCGGCTTTAAAAGTCAGCCCAAAGAAGAAACTCTTACAGCGTTTCTGAAAAATGTTCTTGGGAATGTATTTGGGCAAGAAGCCAAAGAAAGGAATGGGATTTCATAGCTGTCAGCTGAAGTCCCTCACATCTCCAGGACACCCTTCATTCTTACCTTTCTTTTCAGCTGCTGTATTTCAGCCTCAGTCACAGCATGCTTGATCTGGAGCTGCCAAAAAGAGTAACAGAAAAGTTTATCCCTAAAGACTCCAGAGCCCAAATGGCTTATGTCTGACTGCATCTTGATCAGAGGATGTGCCCTTTGCCTTGGCAGATGTTTAATCTATTTTAATCTTTCTGACGCATCAATGATCATAGTAATATTGTGGACCTGGGGCAGGCTGGACAAGAAGAGTCACTCAAAGAGCTGAGTTGCTGGTTGCAAGTGGGGGTAAAGTTTGTGAGCACTGTCAGGTGTGGTGTTATTTTGGACATCCAACTAGTTGGAGGTTTTTTTAGACATCACCGACCAGTGGGCAGGGCAGAAGACCTCAGGCTCCCTCACCAAACCAGCAGCTCTGACACCTTTTTATCTCCGGCATACCTGCTATTCTCCTTGCTTTGCTCCTCACCCTGATACTGACCAATCTGATTTTGAACTGAGCTCAGACATCCAGGATGATTGCATAACGTAAAATTGCCCACCCCTGCACCCTTGACAGCATTAACAACACCCCACATTTGGACAGCACGGTGTGTGTGTGTGTGTGTGTGTGTGTGTGTGTGTGTGTG